GGCTGAGGCAGCTGAGGCTGAGGCCGAGGCTGAAGGCAGACTGAGGCTGAGGCTGAAGCAGCTGAGGCTGAGGCTGAGGCAGGCTGAGGCTGAGGCTGAGGCAGGCTGATGCTGAGGCAGGCTGAGGCTGAGGCTGAGGCTGATGCAGGCTGAGGCTGAGGCAGGCTGAGGCTGAGGCCGAGGCTGAAGGCAGACTGAGGCTGAGGCTGAGGCTGAGGCTGAGGCTGAGGCTGAGGCTGAGGCTGAGGCTGAGGCTGAGGCTGAGGCTGAGGCTGAGGCTGAGGCTGAGGCTGAGGCTGAGGCTGAGGCTGAGGCTGCAGGCAGGCTGAGGCTGAGGCAGGCTGAGGCTGAGGCCGAGGCAGGCAGACTGAGGCTGAGGCTGAAGCAGGCTGAGGCTGAGGCTGAGGCAGGCTGAGGCTGAGGCTGAGGCAGGCTGATGCTGAGGCAGGCTGAGGCTGAGGCTGAGGCTGATGCAGGCTGAGGCTGAGGCAGGCTGAGGCTGAGGCCGAGGCTGAAGGCAGACTGAGGCTGAGGCTGAAGCAGGCTGAGGCTGAGGCTGAGGCAGGCTGAGGCTGAGGCTGAGGCTGAGGCTGAGGCTGAGGCTGTGACTGCGACTGCCGTTGCCACTGCGACTGTCATCTCGAATGCGACTACGACTGCGAGAACAGCAGAATTCTACAACTGGATTCTCATCCGAATCTTAAGGGGAATGCTTCCAGATATGCTCCTACACATCGCTGTTAGGTTGCTTTGCCGGGATAATTGCGCAAGCGTTTCGAGAATGCCCCATGGCAAGCTGGGTTGGCCATTGGCGAGGAGGTCTTCACATGTTGCGGGGCGCGCCACTCACCCACGCACAATGGTGGATGGGAGCTGGGCCAGATCGACTACATCGAGGCCCTGAAACCAATCTGCAGCGCCGAGCCCGCTGGCAAGTCCATCTGAGCTCGCCCCCGAGGACCTGGCCAGGCCGCGCCTCAGTCTGCTCCTGGCCTTGGCCTTCGCCTTCGTCGCCCGAGTCGATTTGCGCGTCTGCGTGGTAGCACTCCGGCGCCACGCGGCTGCTCCAGGGTGCGGCCGCGCACGCAAGCTCAACGCTCGCGTGAGATGGACTCCGCCAGCGCCACTACGGACGCGTTAATCCAGCGATGCGCTGCGCGGGTAAACCGGAGGCGCACAACGACGCAGCGCTCCGCGAGAAGCAGAAAGAGGGCGTCGACGCGGGGCGGGCACTCCGAGGGCCCACCTCCCCGCGCATGGGCGCAGGGGGCACGGGCGCCCAGAAGGGCGTTTGTTGGTTGACAATCGCGCCGCTTGCTGGGCTGGCAGCGCCTGGCGCTCAAGACGGCGACACAAAGCACCTTCGCAAGCGAGGTGATGGCCGCGACCAATTCGACGGATCACGGCCTCGCTCTGGCCGCGACACGCCGCGGATGCCCAAGGGCCCGCGCGGCCCCGAAGCGGCGCGCCCCCAAGCCCCTCGCACTGCCAGCGGAGCTCTGCTTGGATTCCGCGGGCGCGGCCACAGCCGCCACGGCAGCGAGACCAGAGCTCCTGGCAGACATTCGCCGTTGCCGCCCGCGCCCTGGCTCCGCGACCTCCTGCGTTCGTTCGGGCCAGTCATGGGCCCTGAGCTGGGGGGCGCGACACATGGTCGCGGACGGGCTGACCAGGGGCAGCATCGACAGATCTGCACTCGACGACGCAGCTGGCGGCCCCCGCCGGCGGTCACACACGCGCACGCACACGCACACCGCACACTGCCACCCTCAACGCGGCTGGCAGATTCACCTGTCTGATCAGGCCAGGAGCGCTAGCCGCCGACTGACAACTAACAGTCATCAGTCCACGGACTTCTTCGTGCACCATCTTCCCAAACCACTGACCACTCCCTGTCCCCATCTCATTAGGGAGGGTCGACGTCATGCACGCCGACGCACGACGCAGCACGACAGTCCAGGCATAGTTGTTGGCGGGGTTCTTTGGCACATTAGGATGCAGAACGCACAGTTGCGCGCAAGCGCGTGTACACGCGCGCAAGAGACATGGGATCAGTCAGGAAGTCAGAGTAGGAAGAAGCTGATTCCGCGGCCGTTTTTTCTCGCGGCCGGCGAGCGGGGCCTCGCGGCGCGGGTCGCGCGCTGGCGGGCCCGCGCACGGGCGACGTGCGCCGCCGCGCGCTGGCTCCCACCCGCTGCCGCGCGCGCGGCCGCACGCCGCGGGACAGGGCCCCTCTGCCTCCGACGCCGCCGCCGCGGCATTCGAGGACGGACCCATCAGCGTCTCCCACGGAAGCGCCACCCTCAGACGAGGCACCCGCGGCGCCCGGGGGCCGCGCAGCACTTCGCGAGCGCGCCCGGCCCGCCGCTCATCCGCCCAGCCGCCCGAAGGCATCGCCACCAATCGCGTCCAGGCCGTCAGGACTGCCGCCAGCAGCGCCATCACCGCGCGTTATCGCGGCCGCCCTCTGTCGCCCCGTCGGCCCCGCTGGGCCGCCGCGACGCCTGGCCCCGCGCGCGCGCTGCGGACCGCCAAGGCGGCGCCCGCGGCACCCCCCGCGAGCACCTCTTCCGCCCGAGGCCCGCGGCACTCGGCGAGGGGCCGACGCAGCGGCCACCGCGCAGCGAGGACGACGCGGAGGCGCGCGAGTTCCTCAGGGGCCGGCACATCATCAGCGCCCCCGCCCCAGACGCGGCGGCGTGGAAGTGCCTGTTCAGTGGAACGGCCATGGAGCCGACGATGCGGCCGCCTTCCTTCACGAGGCCCGTCGCGCCGCGGGGCGAGTGAACGACGCGCGGACGACTTTCGACAACGAGGCCATATCGGTGCCGATTGCGCTGCTCACCGCCAAGTTGTTTCAGGCATGGTCGCTTCGCCTCGAGGACAGTTCAAGCGCTGCAGGCACTGGCGGTCGGTCGACCTCGGCACCTGGCACGGCCGCGGCCAGGATCCGCGCATTCCCGCGGATGAGGCAGCCCTATGGCTGCCCACCAGCAAGAGCTGCCCGCGCGAGCTGTCCCCGAGGTCGCCGCGCCCCCCGCCGCCGCGGGTCGAGCGCGCGCTGGCCGCGCATCCACGATGCTCCCCACCGAGGTTCCCGCCGCATCCGCCCGAGCAGCAGCGGGGCCGGGAGATGGAGTTTCGGCAGCGACGCAGCCCTCGGCTCAGGGTGGCGACCATCTCTGCCGCGTTCGTTCTGGCAGCGCGCTGGCAGCATGGCGCCAATCGGCTCACGTGGGCAAGCAGCAGTCGCGACAGGCAGGCGCAAGGGCAACGGCAAGAACAAACGCAAGGTTCAGAGCAAGCCCAACCGCGACAAACCGAAGAAAAAGATATGGGGCGCGGGGGCGGGAAGGTCAAGCGTCTGCGCGCGGCCGCGGCTACGGCGCTCGCAGCAGCCAGCGACGACGACGATCGCAAGTCCTCGCAGGGCAGCACCGCCCCAGGCGCGCCCAGCGAGGAAGCGAAGATGCATCGAGGCCGCAGCAGCTCCCAGTTTCAGGACGACTAAGGTGGTGAGCCCGAGGCGATAGTGCAAAAGGAGTGCACGTCTCCCATGGACACCCTCCATCCCTCATCTTTTCCATTTTTCCCGGTAAAGGCGTCGTCGCATTTCAATTTCGCCTCCCCACGTGACCCCAGGGCCATCCACCATGCACGATTCTCATAACAGGCTTTCAGACCTTGTTGTCCGCGGCCCAAGGTCACCAAACAGACAGATGCGACCGTGCCGAAATCACGCTATTTCTATTCGCGTGAGCTCGTCCAGTGCCACTTGTAAGAGCACGATCGAGTTCCCCAATATGGGTGGGCCCACCTCCCGCCGTGCCGCGCGCAATCAGGCCAGACAGCGACGGGGTATCCCGGCTGATTCTAGAATGTGCTGGGGGGGTGGACAGTTCCGGCTCCCGTTCCTCCTGTCCTGCGTCTCCGCCAGAGTTGTTCGATCGCCCGCGCAATCCCGACTCGAAAAAGATGCTCCGCTACCGTTTGGCTCTAGCGATGGCGCGCACCAAACAAATGTGTTGAGTGAAAAGCCCGCTATCTACACCTTGATGCCGCAATGTTGTCTGTAGTATTGCTTCGAAGCACCACAATTATAGTGCCTCCGGGCGCCATCTTCTGACGAGCACAGGGCCTCGCTGGACCCCCAGCCGGGCCAGCACGCCCGAAGGGAACGGCAGGAAATCCGCAGAGGCCAGCTAACAAAGGGCACGTGGAAACGCCGGGTGGAAGGCTATGCGCTGGCAGGGCGGGGAGGAGGAGGAGAAGGAGGAGGAGGAGGAGGAAGAGGAGGAGGAGGACGACGACGACGCCGACGACGATAAAGACAAGGGAAAGGGAAGAACGCGCGGACGAGCACGAGGATGACAGGAGCGGGACGAGGGAGGGTTTTTGGCACGATGGGGGGCCCTGGAGGGCGTCGGGTCGGGCGGCGTCCCTTCCTGGTATCGATGGATGCTGGCTTGGGTTGCGGCATCCCTGCTTTTCTGTGGAGTGGCTGATAATACGAGTCTTCCTGAATATTGGTGATGATGACGACGACGATGATGATGACGATGACGATGACGATGACGATGACGATGACGATGATGATGATGATGATGATGATGATGATGATGATGATGATGGTGATGATGATGATGTTCATGATGATGATGATGTTGATGATGATGATGATGATGAGGTTGATGATGATAATGATGATGATGATGTTGATGATGATGATGATGATGACGATGATGATGATGATGATGATGATGATCATGATGATGATGGTGATCAGGAGGAGGAGGAGGAGGAGGAAGAGGAGAGAGGACAGGACCAGGAGAAAGAGGAGGAGAGGAATGAAAAGGGTCAGGAGGACAGGCGGAGAACGGGGGAGGCGAGGGCGGTGGCGAGGACGAGGAAGAAATGAAGGAGTTTGGAGGGGGGGGGCGGGGGGAAGGCGTAGGCGGAGCGGCTGCGCTGGCGGCCGTAAGAAGCCTACGCACGCCCAGCCACCTGAACCACCTGGGCGGCGTGTTTGCACGCGACGAGGGCGAGGACCGCGTGCTGCCGCCTCGCTTGCAGGAGGAGGATGAGGATGCGGAGGAGGGTGCGAATGAGGACGAGGATGCGAATGAGGACGAGGATGTGGATGAGGATGAGGATGTCGACGAGGACGAGGACGAGGATGAGGATGAGGATGTGGATGTGGATGAGGATGTGGATGATCATGGTGATTATGATGTTGATGATGATGATGATGCTGATAAATGATGATGGTGGTGGTTGTGGAGATGCTGATGATGATGATGATGATGGTGATGGTGATGGTGATGGCTGTGATGCTGATGCTGGTGACGTGATGGCGATGGTGGTAACGGTGGTGATGATGATGTTGATGTTGATGCTGATTATGATGATGACGATGGTGACGATGGTGATGACGAGGATGAGGATGAGGATGATGATGATGACGATGATGATGATACTGATGGTGATGATGTTTATGATGATGACGATGAGAATGATGCCGATGCTGATGATGGTGATGATGACGATGATGATGATTGTGCTGATGATGGTGATGGTGATAGTGATAGTGATAATGATAATGATGATGATGATGCTATGATGATGGTGATGATGATAATGACGTTGACAATGATGGTGGGGGTGGGGGTGGGAGTGTCGTGGTGATGGTGATGGTGGTGGTAATGATGATGACGACGTTGTTGATGCTGATGGTGATGCTGATTATGATGATGATGCTGATTATGATGATGATGGTGACGGTGATGATGATGATGATGATGATGATGATGATGATGATGATGATGATGATGATGATGATGATGATGACGATGATGACGAGGAGAAGAAGGAGAAGAAGGAGGAGGAGGAAAGAGAGGCGGAGGAGAGGAGGAGGAAGAGGAGGAGGAGGAGGAGGAGGAGGAGGACAGGAAGAGGAGGAGGAGGAGGAGGAGACGGAAAAGCAGAATCATCAGCGTCGCAGCGTCACAGGAGGAGGAGGAGGAAGAGGAGGAGGAGGAGCAGGAGGTGGAGGAGTTCGGGCCAAGTGTGCCCGATTACCGACCGACGCCACCGTCATCATGTCGTCCTCACTTTCCTGTTGGTCGCATTGCTGGTAAGTGGGCGTGGGTGTGAGTGCGTCGTTGATTGTTCCGTGCTGTCAGGAGCAGGCAAAGAAGGGGTGGGAGAAAGAGGAGAGACAGCCGATGCGCCACTCCACCTCGAGCGTCTCCAAGATCAGGGAGGAGGAGAGGAGGAGGAGGAGGAGCAGGGGAGGCCAAGGACCCCTTCTTGGGTCACGAGATGGTGGCGGATTTCAAAGGGCATCCCCTCTGGGGCAAGTTTCGCATCGTCTGTCGCTGCTGCCATCACTGCTCTTCTTCGTCTTCCATCTCATTGCATTTTCTTTGGGGATACTTGTGGCAGGCAGCGTTCACTCGAACACGGATGTCTTCAGGCTGCGTGCGTTTGAGGAGGAGGCGGAGGAGAAGAATAATAATAAGAAGAAGAAGAAGGTGTAAGAGAGAGAGGGGAGACAGTCGGGGAGACAACCGATGTTTCTCCACCTCGATCGCCCCTCCGCATTACACACCGGGGCATCTTCGTCCGCCCTCCAGCACTTCGGCGGCGGGCGCCCGATACAGGCAGGAGGAGCAGCAGCCGCGCACGACCAGTGCAAGACCTGATCGTTGCGGTCGGTAACCTTTGTTCGGCGTGTCGCGACGCCAGTTCTGGCCCCCCACGCCTCGGCGCGGAACGCGGGCGCGAGCGCGGGCGCGAACGCAGGCGCGGGCGCGGGCGCCGGCGCGGGCGCGCGACAGTGGAGGCGAGCGCAGGCGCGGGCGCGGGCGCGAGCGGGGGGCGAGAGCGCAAGCGCGGGGGCGGCCGCGGGGGCGGGCGCGAGGGCGGGCGCGGGCGCGGGCGGGGTCGGGTAAACCCCTCCCGAAGGGGAAGAAGGGGGTTGAGAACAGAGCGGGCTCTCTAAACCACTCACGCCCAAAGGGCTGGTGGGATTCTTGGCGCAGCCAAGAGCCGCTGAACTCAGATCCTGGTCTTGAGGAAGAGGAAGATAGGGGCGCAGCCAAAAGCCGCAGTAACTGGTGAATTGGAGGAGGAGGGGGGGTGGGCGGCCCTCTGGAGCAGTGCTGTCTGCTCTGAGTCCGCTCTTTCTTCTTCCCCGAGCGGTCTCTGAGGTGGAACCTCCGTCGCCGCGGGGGGGTGGGTGGAACCTGCCGCTGGGGCTTCGCAATCACAGTCTGCCCCCCTGCGGGGGGAGGGGGGAGGCGTGGACGGTACTGGGATCAGGACGGGATCCAGGGCGGCGCCAGGGCGAGCTCCATTCCCCTCTATATCTGGCTGCCGTCCTCCGCGGGGCAGAGGGCTAACGTGTGCGCCGCTGACGTCGGCCTTGCGTTTGCCTCATCTGCGGGGGGGGGGCTGATGCCTGTGGGGGGTCCGCGCCTGATCTGGATCTGGGTGGGGGCTGATCGAGAACAGTGACTGGGCCCCCGCGCCCTGCACTGAAGGATCACTGCCTCCATCCCCATCGTCAGGCTGATCATGCATGGATCTGAGCCGCGGGCCACGACAGCGCCGCGAGCGATCTGGTATCGCGGGCGCGCGTAAACGAAGCGGCGGGGCCCAGGGCCGGGGGGGGCGCGGCGCTGCGCCCGGGCGCCCCCTTGAGCGCGGGAGACTGGCCCGAGGGAGCCAGGCCCGCAGACGGCTTGAGCCAGAGGCTACGGAGTGGTGGTGGGGGAACGCGAAGCGTCAAGAATTTCCCTGCCCCCAGGCCGCCCCAGTAATTAAGCGGATGCTGCCGCAATCATTTGAAAGCTAGGGCGACGAGCCTTCTCTGCTTTCTCTCCCACACCTGTGGTTCTCGTCTGAGCAGGTGCCCGTTTTATTTTCCCGCGCGGCCCCCACGCGCGGCTATTGAGCAGCTGCGCGCGCGCGCCGTAGCAGTTGACTTGTTTTCTTCATTGTTTAACGCCTGCCGCGGGGATTGAGGTCAGGACCCTTCATTCGCAGCCGAGTCCCTCAAGGACCGCGCGAGGCAGGCCGCCGTCCGCCAGTCAGGTGCGGTGCCCTTCCTCTTGCTCATCCTGCTGCTCATCCGCCACGTCTTCCAATGCACGCAGCCCCCCTAGGGTGTCATTGCGTCGGGGGTTCCAGGTTCCACTATGACACCCGTCGGCGGATACAGACATATCAGCAGAAGGCGCACTTTGGGCAGCGACTGACCCCGCCAATGGGGATGCAGAGCACGCGGTGGACGCTGCCTTCGTGGACGACGAGGCGTTTATCTTGATATCCCGCTCGGCGCACGCACTCAACGCTGCCATCGAGACGCTGCTCCAGACTGCCACATCGGTGTTCGGCAATTTCCATCTTGAGGTCAATTGGGCGCCAGGCAAGACGGAGGCCCTACTAGCCTTCAGAGGCCACGGAGCGGCGGCAGCCGGAGAACGGTGGAGGCAAGCTGACAGTACGCTTAAGATCCCCGCTCCCACCGATCCGCCACTTTCACTCACGATCGTGCAGTCGTACAAACATATTTGCACGAAGACCGCTGCCTCCGCCGAGATACACGGCAACACCACCCTGCGTGTGAAGACGGCGATGGACGCATACATCCCGATTGCGTACAAGATGTACGGAAATCCCCACAGCTTCACTCCGCACAAGAAGAGTTGTTTGCGCAACTTCTTCAACTCCCGCTCGCTCTTCAACGTCCAGATCACTGTCCCAGGGGCTCGAGATCTCGTTGTGCACAACAACTGCCACATGCGACCCCTGAGACGGCCTGTCGGCGACATGCGGTTGTTTCGCGATGTCGGGCATTCCGACTTAAAAAAACGACGCCTGCTGAACATACCGTCCATCGAGTGCCTCATCGCGAAAGCGAGGCTACTATATGCACGGCGCCTCAACAAGGTGCGGCTTCGCGCGCTACTCGGTCTGCTGCACCCCCGGAAAAAGTGATCGACGCTTACCCTGGGTGCAGTGCCTGGCCCACGCTTGTGACAGGCTACGACTCCACCAGCTCGTGCCCGAGCACATGGCCCCGTTGTCCGACGACCGTGACGGATGGCACGGGCTGATGCTGTCAGAACGTTGGACTGGTTTTATTTAATCGCTTCGCTCATGCCGCCGGCCCTGGAGCCCTCTTTAGGGCATCTTGGGGGCCTCTTGGGGACCTCTTGGGAGTCTCTTGGGGCTCCTTGGCGGCGTTTTGGAGGCCCCCAGGGCCTCTTGGGGGGCTCTTGGGGGTAGTCGATTGCGGCTCCCCCCCCTCGGAGGCCACGATCCTCGTGAGGGGTGTCCGGGCTGATGCTGTCAGAACGTTGGATTGGTTTTATTGACAAGTTTGTTTCTCGTCGGGGGCATCACTGACCGCAAGGAGTCGGCAGACGACAGCAGCTCTAGTCGGCACCTTGCCTTTACATGCCCGCGGTGATTGTTCGTTGTGCGTCGCAGCGCGCGCTGGAGTCCCATGCCTGGGCTAAGCATGGAAACCGCTTACTCGTCAAGCGCTACGCACAGGGTACAACTCGCCCGTGCCGCGGTACAAATTACCGCGATCGTTTTGGTGGCACACCTGCTTGACAGTCGTAGACCTCGTTGTGCCTCTTGGGTAATGGCCAGTGTGCAGCCTCTGCCGAACGGTCAGTTACGGGCCTCTGACGCAGCCGATCGCAGGGCGCGTACAGATGCGCAGCGTGCCTGCAGCGCGTCGTGTTGATGGGAGGGCCACTGGCCGCGCACGAGCCTAACACAGGCTTGGTGTTCCCCCGCTGCCTGGAGACTATCACCCCCGAGGCAATAAGCAATGAGCACAAGGAGGGGGAACGGCCGGGCGGGATGGGGTGTCAGATCTCGCGCGGTCGCACCTAGCTTGCCCCTCTCCCATATCCTCTTTGTTTTCCCTTCTCTCTTTCGTGTGCCTGCGGCCCATCCCGCCGAGTTCGCTGGCCGCCCCGTCCCTCGAGAGAGGCCTCCCTCCCTTCAATCCCCCGTGCGTTTTCCTCGCGGCCCGCCCCCTGCAGGGCGACCAGATCTGCAGGGGCCTGATCACGCTCGCCGTCTTGGCGGCCACCGTCGTCGCCACCGCCGCTGCCGCCGTCGGTGCCGCCGCCAAGTTGGCCCGACATCGGCCTCCAGATGCCTCCCGCCAGGAGCAGAAATAACGAGCGCGCGTGAGCGTGAGTTCTCGTGGGTTTCGGGAACGCGCGTGGCGCGAGCGTTCGTAATAAAGTGAGATTGACCTCACAGACTGGGAGCTGCATTTTGGATGGAAACAACGCACGCGAAATTGATCCGTCGACAGGAGGAGTGCTCAGAAATAGTAGCTTAAATCATGTTATAGAAATATACAAATAGTTTTTTACACATATTTATATATATATATATGTACACATCATATCGTTTTACACCTATATATGTCATTGTCCTGGAGACATTATTGCGTTCGCTCCCTCGACTTGAACGCTTCTTTACGGAGTTCGGCGCCATATCTGGGCTGCGATTGAATATGCGAAAGTCCGTTGTGGTCCCACTCGCGAAGGCGCCGTTGGAACAGGACGCGGCGTCATTCCTGGGGCACGCCGAGGCCTGGAAAGACATGTCAGTTCATGAGTCGGCTAAATATCCGGGCTTTGTGCTGGGACCTGGCAAGGGCAACAAGACCTGGCATAACCCCCTGGCGAAGTTCCACCGGCGTGTCCACATGTGGCAAGACGCCCCGCTTGGGCTGCATTGGCAGGCTCGGGTCTTCAACACTTGCATCCTGCCCACGCTCTTTTACGTGGCTCAGTTGGAGTGGCCCGACAATTTCGTGCAGGAGGAGGTGCAAGGATAGCGGGTGACAGCTGCGCCCTCCGCGCTCTTCCGGCTGGCCTCGGGCCCCACTGCCTGGGCCTCCCCCGCGGACTTGTGGCTCCTGCGGGACGCCTTCGGAGGCGCCGCGTCCTTCCACAATCTGGCATGGATGGCTGCGTCTTCCCAGATGCGGGTCCTGCACTGCGACAGGGGCATCGACAGCCAGCGGCAGTTCCGGGAGGACTGTGCCCAGCTGCGCCAGGCGTGGGCCAACGCAGATGCTTTGCATTGGATCGATTGGTTTTCGCGCAGCTTCCTTCTCCGGCTCCAGGACACCGACGACGACCTGCAGGGGCGCTTCGGCGAGGTAAACGAGGTCCAGACGGCCCGGCGGGCCACCACCGCGCCGCCGGCGGCGGACGCGTGGTGGCGCAAGCAGTTCCAGTCCACGTATTATGACCGCCACGTGGCCGACAACCTGGGCGACCCGGAAGGCCGATTCCGGGGGAAATTGGGAGTCTGGAGCTTGGGGGACGCCGGCGTACACGGACAGATTCCGCATACTGTACTCCCGCCGCCGGCTGGGTATCCTCTTTGGCGTCCACCCTACCCAGCCAGATACCCATCCAGCGGCCGCCGGATGGGTATCCCGCAGTGCCGGCTGGGTACCCGACCCATCCAGCAGCCGCCGGATGGGTATCCCGCCCTGCCAGCTGGGTACCCCTACCCATCCAGCGGCCGCTGGATGGGTATTCCGCCGTGCCGGCTGGGTACCCCTACCCAGCCAGCGCCCGATGGGTATCCCGCCGGATGGGTATCTGAGCGCCCGGCCCCCCGTGCTGCCGCCGGATGGGTATCCCGCCGTGCCGGCTGGGTACCTCTACCCAGCCAGCGCTGGATGGGTATGCCGGTGGATGCGTATCTGAGCGCCCCCCCCTCAAGGCTACCGCCGGATGGGTATCTGCTGGGAGCCGGCCTGGTACCCCTACCCAGCCAGCGGCCGCCGGATGGGTATCTGCCGGGAGCCGGCTGGGTACCCCTACCCATCCAGCGGCCGCCGGATGGGTATCGGAGCCAATTGGTTACTCCACCCAGCGCCACATGAGTACGCCGCCGGATGGGTATCTGAGCGCCCCACCCTCAGGGTTGCTGCCGGATGGGTATATGCCGGGCTCCGGTTGGGTATCCCTACCCATCCAGCGGCCGCCGGGTATCTGCCGGGAGCCGGCTGGGTACCCCTACCCATCCAGCGGCCGCCGGATGGGTATCGGAGCCAATTGGGTACCCCTGCCCACCCAGCGCCACATGAGTACGCCGCCGGATGGGTATCTGAGCGCCCCACCCTCAGGGTTGCTGCCGGATGGGTATCTGCCGGGCTCCGGTTGGGTATCCCTACCCATCCGGACAGCGGCCGCCGGATGGATATCTGCCGGGAGCCGGCTGGGTACCCCTTTGCCGGGAGCTGGTTGGGTACCCCAGCCGCCGGAGAGGTATCTGCCGGGAGCCGGCTGGGTACCCCTATAGGATCGGTATATATGCCGGGAGCTGGTTGGGTACCCCTATATACCCATGCAGCGGCCGCCGGATGGGTATCTGCAGGGAGCCTTCTGCTGGGTACCCACACCCATCCAACGCCGGATGGGTTTGCCGCTGGATGGGTATTTGCGCGTTCCCCTCTCAGGGCTGCCGCCGGATGGGTATCTGCCGGGTGCCGTCTGGGCACCCCTACCCATCCAGTGGCCGCCGGATGGGTATCTGCCGGGAGCCAGCTGGGTATCCCTGCATCCAGCAGCCGCCGGATGGGTATCTGCCGGGAGACGGCCTGGTACCCAGCAGCCGCCGGATGGGTATCTGCCGGGAGCCGCCTGGGCACCCCTGCCAGCGGCCGCCGGATGGATATCTGCCGGGAGACGGCCTGGTACCCTTACCTATCCAGCGGCCGCTGGATGGGTATCTGCCGGGGGCCGGCTGGGTACCCCTACCCATCCAGCGGCCGCCGGATGGGTATCTGCCGGGAGCCGGCTGGGTACCCCTACCCATCTAGCAGCTGCCGGATGGGTATCTGCCGGGAGACGGCCTGGTACCCCTACCTATCCAGCGCCCGCCGGATGGGTATCCCGCCCGGGCCGGCTGGGCACCCCTACCCATCCAGTGGCCGCCGGATGGGTATTTGCCGGGAGCCAGCTGGGTACCCTTACCAATCCAGCAGCTGCCGGATGGGTATCTGCCGGGATACGGCCTGGGCACCCCTATAGCCAGCCAGCGGCCGCCGGATGGGTATCTGCCGGGAGACGGCTTGGTACCCCTACCTATCCAGCGGCCGCTGGATGGGTATCTGCCGGGGGCCTGCTGGGTACCCCTACCCATCCAGCGGCCACCGGATGGGTATCTGCCGGGAGCTGGCTGGGTACCCCTACCCATCTAGCAGCTGCCATATGGGTATCTGCCGGGAAACGGCCTGGTACCCCGATCTATACAGCGGCCGCCGGATGGATATCTGCCAGACGCCGGCTGGGTACCCCTACCCATCCAGCGGCCGCCGGATGGGTATCTGCCGGGAGCTGGCTGGGTAACCCGACCCATCCAGCGGCCGCCGCCGCCGCCTCCGCCGCCGCCGCCGACGACGACGACGACGATGACGACGACGACGGCGAAGACGAGGGCGACGACGAAGGCGACGCGGGGCCAGGTAAAGGCCCTCTTCTGGAGGGCGAAAATGGTCAAACACCTCCCGTCGTTTTTTTTGACACGGCGCCGGGGGGGGGCTTGGTTTTCGGGCACTTAGTTACCTCGGGCCTCTGGCGGCCTTTTCGGGACGATTTCCGGGCACATCCAGGACGCCGCCCTCGGCGAGGCGCGGTTGCCGGAGAGCACCCCGCGGCGAGAAGACCTCACCACAGCCTCAGCCTCAGCCTCAGCCTGCCTCAGCTTCGGCCTCAGCCTCAGCCTGCCTCGGCTTGCCTCAGCCTCAGCCTCAGCCTGCCTCGGCCTCAGCCTCAGCCTCAGCCTGCCTCAGCCTCAGCGTCAGCCTCTCAGCCTCAGCCTCAGCGTCAGCCTCTCAGCCTCCGCCTGCATCACCTCAGCCTCAGTCCCCTTCCTCGCCTCAGTCTCAGCTGCATCACCTCAGCTTCAGCCCTCATCCGCAGCCTGCCTCGGCACTGAGACCCTCGCCAGCTCAGCCTCAGCCTGACTCAGCCTCAGCCTCAGCCTCAGCCTCAGCCTGCCTCGGCTTGCCTCAGCCTCAGCCTCAGCCTGCCTCGGCCTCAGCCTGCCTCGGCCTCAGCCTGCCTCAGCTCGGGCATTCAAAATATGGCACATAACTGGTGTTCTGGGAACACGAAGATTACGAAATGGCCTACAGTTGGCTCCGGGTAATCAAAATGTGGTACAGGAATCGTGTTCTGGGAACACGAAAAACACGAAGTGGCTTACAGTTGGCTCCGGGCATTCAAAGTGTGGCCTGGGAATGGTGTTCTGGGAACACGAAGAGCACGAAGTGGCCTACAGTTGGCTCCGGGCAATCAAAGTATGGCCTGGGAATGGTGTTCTGGGAACACGAAGAACACGAAGTGGGCTACAGTTGGCCCCGGGCATTCAAAATGTGGCCTGGGATTGGTGTTCTGGGAACACGAAGAACACAAAGTGGTTCACAGTTGGCCCCGGGCATTCAAAATGTGGCCTGGGAATGGTGTTCTGGGAACACGAAGAACACGAAATGGCCTACAGTTGGCTCTGGGCAATCAAAGTATGGCCTGGGAATTGTGTTCTGGGAACACGAAGAACACGAAGTGGCCTACAGTTGGCTCCGGGCTATAGAATGGCCTGGGAATGGCGTTCTGGGAACACGAAGAACACGAAGTGGCTTACAGTTGGCTCCGGGCATTTAAAATGTGGCCTGGGAATCGTGTTCTGTTGGCTCCAGGCAGTCAAAATGTAGCTCCTGGCAATAAACATGGTAGGTCCCCGGATTCCCGCGGCACCCGTCCGGCATCTGCCCAGACCCCGCTGGAGAGTCATGATGCTTTCTCTTTTGAGACCACTAGAGACCTATCAGTTTTCCCTGTTAGGTAAAAATGTGAGCCGCGCGCGCGCGCTCAAAGTGCGGAGGAACAACAACGAATCAATCAACACTGGCCTGCTCGCTGCGCCTGGCAAGTAACATCCCTATCATGTCGGAGGCAATTGCTCTGCGGACCGGCTCGGGCTTCAACAACGCCTCCAAGCACGCCAGTGTTATGCTGTCGTGTTCTCAGCGCACCCCCCCCTCCAGGCT